TGGAAATTAATCACGACCTCTGAAGAGGTAGGCTCTGTATTTTGGCTACTAGCGGCGATGTCCTGTGTTTACACAATTCTCAATATGCCGTTTTCACTGGTATTCTGTGCTGGATCCGACCAAATTCTTTTGTGTTGTCGGACTCGTCGCACATCACTTTGATTCAGCAGCGTTGCATTTACATTCTTCTGCGAATGTGCAGTTCAAGGTTTCGGCATATCAGCAGTATCCGCGCCATCTGTGATGAAGTCGCTGTTCAGTTTTGGTATAGGGGGTAATGTTAGCAATGTCATCGTGAGTTGTAACAAAGGTAAATTAGTCGGAATGTTGGGAAGAAATTGTAGAACATAACTTGATGGATCCTTTCTCATATATATGCCTTCTACAATTGCTTAAAATTTAGTAGCTTCCGTCCAACGCATGCATCTGAACACTTCGACTTTGGAATTACGCGGCTTTGCAAATATGCGATAAAAAAAGAAAGCAGGGCTGAGAAAGAATCAGCCACATTCTATGCATTTCCTGTTCACATTGCAGGTATAGCCTATTCCATCAATTTTCACATTTGCTATTGAGGTGGAATTTTTAATAAGACGCAAACAGGCTTTTTCTAGACGTGTTTAACCTTAATACTTAACCGATACCGTTACTGCGCATTTTCTTTGCCTTTGATCCGTGTGCACGTAACAGGATGGTGATCGAGAATTCCCACCTCCTGACAACTATGAATTCTCATATCGGCAGCAATTGGCCAACACTCTGGAATTAGTAGGTTAGAGATGTGAAACCAGCAGTCCAGGTTTCGCAGAAATCGATTGTTTTACAAATCTTTCCCATTTGTGTCAATTGATCCTCTTCATGCCATCTGAGCAGAACTTTGTAGTCATGTAATGTGTCCTCCGTGGAAAGCTTGTCCAAATGATGGTTTGAAAAAGGACGAAGATATCTACATAATTGATCTGCACATATTTTAAAGTCTTGTGGAGTTCATGCTTGAACGACAACACCTTCACTGCTGCAAATAATGCGTACTGAGTTTGTGATGTTAGATGCCGTTGGCGTGATCATAAGGCAAATCATGATATAGAAGGGGAACCACTTTGCAAGGCTTTATTGTGGCTGTTTGGGCTGTTTGAGTACGTGTTACCTTGGTTCTATTGTGCGTATAAGAAATGAATTGTGTGGGGCACAAATTATAATCACGATTGGGTTTTAGGTTTGGCGAGTGAGGAGTTTCCGGCGCTTTTTTGAACAATGCGATGTGATAAAGGAGCCTCTATTCCTGTATTTCAAGAGGGATTGAAAGGTCGGCCAGTCGTCGAACTTCCCTCTTTGTAGCAAAGAAAAGTTCGGCATACTGCCACCAGTTCCTTCGCGAACGTTAGTTACACGGGCAATTTACCATTCCTTTCTGGGCATGACTGGATCACCTAACGAAACAGAACTACCATTTTCCTTTGAACTCCTTCCGTCTTCNAATCACGATTGGGTTTTAGGTTTGGCGAGTGAGGAGTTTCCTGCGCTTTTTTGAACAATGCGATGTGATAAAGGAGCCTCTATTCCTGTATTTCAAAAGGGATTGAGAGGTCGGCCAGTCGTCGAACTTCCCCCTTTGTAGCAAAGAAAAGTTCGGCTAGACTGCCACCAGTTCCTTCGCGAACGTTAGTTACACGGGCAATTTACCATTCCTTTCTGGGCATGACTGGATCACCTAACGAAACAGAACTACCATTTTCTTTTGAACTCCTTCCGTCTTCGCATCGGAGTCACTTCTTCTCTTGACGGCATGTGCTGACGGCGAAAGACGACCACGAGAGTTGACTGAGAGTTCGGTCGTGTGCATCGTGCTTTTATACGTAACCCTTACAAGTGGGGTCAAGAAGAGATGGTGTCGTAAATAGTGCCGAGAAATACTATGATCCTGTCTTGTGAAGCTGCGATGGAGCCGGTGATAGTGATATAAAATATCATAGGTTCTGAGAGGCTGTCTCTCCCTTGGTTTTTCTCTTCGTTGTTTCTTTGTTGCGATACCTTGGCTGAATGCTAAGTTTGATTTTAAGTGAGTCATTATTTGTCGGACGTTTGAATCTCAGAAACTCAGGAATAGTATGGTTGGAGTCAGAGTTGTTTGATATGAGCGTTCTGATTTCGACAGGATTTTTGTCGCCGGCGTAGTGCTTCTTTGGAGATTCTGTTGGCGGTTTGGGACGATACGATGACGGTACCGAGTAGTAATTTGAACGCGAAACGTAGAATCGATATCAATTCGTAATCCACACGCCCACAGGAAGATATATCCTAGCACGAGGGCGATTACAAACACAAAGCACAAAGAAAGAAAGCACATAATGAGGCAAACTGATGTAAGTAAAGAAATGATGTGCAAAGCTGCCCTTTCCCTTTTATTCGACTCGTTGCATTCCAAAGAGATGGGCTCCCTTGATAACGCGCATGCTTCCTCTACGTTGTGAAAGGAGAATTTGAAATGTGATCACAGCGCATCAGAGGCTAATACGAAAGCGGTGATTCCGCGATAACGCGTTCCCACCATTCGTTCCCAGATTTATGACCTCATACTTGCGGAACCAGAAATCCTCAGACATCAATGGCATGTTCGGAAGTAGATGTGGTGCGCAACAGATAGGTGGTGGTCTAAGCAGCGAGCAATGGACTCTACAGCCTTTTGTGGTCTAAAGTGAAGGTGATTAGACTGATTCCTTAAAAGTGCCGAAGTCGATGCAAGCGTCGACCGTCGGCGAGACGTCGCTTCTAAAACGAACATTCAGAAGTGCCGAAAGCTCGTGTTGGAGGAATTTCGAAACGACGCCATCTCAAAAGGGTTGGGTGGGTCATTACTTAGCGAAAGCAAATGCGCGGGAAAATGCAAAGGGGTCGTGAGCCGTGGCCAACGAGAGTGGAAGTTGGAAAATGACCGTCGCCCCTGGAGTCCCGTCGTCCACTGAGGCAGAAGGGCTGCATACAGCCCTGACCGTAGGTTGTTTAAATTTGGTGGTTTTAAAGATCGCTTTTCTTGGCAATTGTGTGTATTTTTTTACCAGTGATTTACTTGTTTTATTGATTCCTTGCAATCGTTTCGCAAGATAAAAGAGTCTATTGTGAATCTGTGTTGTGTTTATCGATCAGTACGCAAACGTAGCTTTCTTGTTTCGTGTTTTATCGACATACCAAATCTAAGTGATGAGAGAAGAGAAGCCAAAATCGCATTAACTTCAATGTCGTAGCAAATGAAGAAAAGCTAAGAAACAAGAAGCGAGCCAAAGAATGAAAGGAGAAACCTCGAACGGAATGAAGGGAAATAACTAACACATTTCTTCGGCCCAACGTTTGGTACTGGACAGAGTCATTTCCGGAAAAAAGTTTATTCTTTTGCCTAAAGTAACACCTTCTCTGTAGATTATATCCAGTGAAAAAAAAGAAATCATTTCAAAACCGTAGGAGGACGATAATAATAAGAGGAACCGCGACGGAAAGAGGAAAGAAAAGGGAGATTTCGGTGAAAGGAACGGGGAGTGACTGCTTAGAAATACGTTTTGCACGATCGTAAAGGCCGGAAGAATGAGGAAGATCAGCTTCAATGTCGTCTCCCGCGTGAAATTGGAACTGCTGAAACACGAAATTGTGTAGGAGGTGAAGAACAACGAAGAGCTCACACGGCAAGCTGTGAAAGAGCTACAATGCGAAGGGAACAGGATGGAGAGGAAAAGCGAAGAGCCCGTGTGGAAAGAACTGCTAAGAGGGCAAAAAT